TCTCGCAATGGCAATAGAACATAAACTCAAATGACTTACTTGGTTACACCTAATTAGCTGCTGTCATCAGAACTGCTGACATTAATATCTTTATTGGCTGCAATTGCCTTAATGTATTGATGATGTGTTTTTGCAGCCTTCCCAGCAATGTCCATCATCGTAGACGCTTCTTTCATTAACTTGTCTATTTTGCTATCTCTTTTCTTTTTCTTTGGCTGTTAATTCCCTAGAAATGAACAACAGACAGTTTTCTATATTTATAAGCAAATTATTAACGCATGACAAAATATTGTAGAAAAAATTGTAAAGGAATCAAAACTCAGATTCTATTGCTGACCCATGAACTGATTTCCCATTACCTTTTCTTTGGTGACTTCTTCTTTTGGCGTTAAGTTCCAATCTACAAAGAATAAAACAAGGTTAAACGGGGGCCCATATAGATAAAAAAGCAACGGATCGTACAACAGATTGAATCACATGAACGTGTTACCACTGATTTATGACAAGAGCTAATGTTAACCTCAGATCCGCTGCTTTCTTCACCATGATCTTCTACATCCTCATCGCTTACAAGTGAGTCATCCGAGTCTTTGGCGGGTTTCATAGCAGACAATCTGCCCTTTTCTTCTTGTTTCTTTGCGTGTTGCAGCTTAATCCCAAGATCTTGAACGGATGTACACTCAGAAGTTTTGTAGAGTATTGGGATACCTGTATTATCACGTGTCAAGAGTAATAAGAATAAGCGTGGTTCCGCCATCTTGTCTAAAAAGTCCTCGTGAAAACTCAACAATTGGCGACGAGTACGGGATCTTTTCCACGCTTAAACTCAGGAAAACAATCCTAGAGAGTCCCTGGAGTGGAAAATGGGCTGAAAGCTTCCAGGATATAAGTTGTGTGTAAGGAAAAAAAGGAGAAAATGCCGGATGAAGCGAGTCCAATACAAGCCGTTGGGAAAGTCCAGAAGTATGTTGTTGGAAGCGACTGGGACTCGTATGCTGAACAGCTAGACTTTTACTTCGTGGCCAATGGTATTAAGGACGCAAATACGAAGAAAGCTATCCTCCTAACAAATATTCCGACGGAAACATACCAGCTTATAAAGGATTTAGTGGCTCCAGAAACACTAAGAAACGATTCAATTACGTACGATGTTATCGTCGAGCGGCTTGCGGGTCAGCTAAAACCACAAAAGTCTGCCTTGGTAGCCAGGTATGAATTCGACAATCGAGCGAGGAAACTGGGTGAGTCAGTCAATGAATATGTCGCAGTTTTGAAGCATTTAGCTACCGAGTGCAAGTTTAATGAAGCGATGCGAGCCGAACGTCTTCGCGATAGATTGGTCTCGGGAATTCGCGACGCCAAGATGATAAGCGAGCTGCTCAAGGTCAAGCTCTCAGACCTCACGTTTGATGTTGCAGTGCGAAAATGCTTGGCGATCGAACAAGCGAA